GCCAGAATGCATAAAATTGACCTAAACGTCTCCTTTTCCTATTCTGAGTCGATTCTGCATGCTTTAAGTGTGTTTGGTGGCTCAGAACCATCAAAAAACGTTGAAATATAGTTCAAATTCAATAAAAATCGACAAAAATACAGTTTCTAGCTAAAATTTGAAGGTTTCGTTTGCACTTTCCGAGCCCGTAGGGTATCTGATTGGCTTAAAAGTACAAGAAAACACTTCAAAAGTGACGTTTCTGAAGAATTTTAACAGTTTTCTTGTATCTACGAACGCCAGAATGCATAAAATTGACCTAAACGTCTCCTTTTCCTATTCTGAGTCGATTCTGCATGCTTTAAGTGTGTTTGGTGGCTCAGAACCATCAAAAAACGTTGAAATATAGTTCAAATTCAATAGAAATCGACAAAAATACAGTTTCTAGCTAAAATTTGATGGTTTCGTTGTACTTTCCGAGCCCGTTGGGTATCTGATTGGCTTAAAAGTACAAGACAACACTTCAAAAGTGACGTTTCTGAAGAATTTTAACAGTTTTCTCGTATCTACGAACGCCAGAATGCATAAAATTGACCTAAACGTCTCCTTTTCCTATTCTGAGTCGATTCTGCATGCTTTAAGTGTGTTTGGTGGCTCAGAACCATCAAAAAACGTTGAAATATAGTTCAAATTCTATAAAAATCGACAAAAATACAGTTTCTAGCTAAAATTTGATGGTTTCGTTGCACTTTCCGAGCCCGTAGGGTATCTGATTGGCTTAAAAGTACAAGAAAACACTTCAAAAGTGACGTTTCTGAAGAATTTTAACAGTTTTCTTGTATCTACGAACGCCAGAATGCATAAAATTGACCTAAACGTCTCCTTTTCCTATTCTGAGTCGATTCTGCATGCTTTAAGTGTGTTTGGTGGCTCAGAACCATCAAAAAACGTTGAAATATAGTTCAAATTCAATAGAAATCGACAAAAATACAGTTTCTAGCTAAAATTTGATGGTTTCGTTGCACTTTCCGAGCCCGTAGGGTATCTGATTGGCTTAAAAGTACAAGAAAACACTTCAAAAGTGACGTTTCTGAAGAATTTTAACAGTTTTCTTGTATCTACGAACGCCAGAATGCATAAAATTGACCTAAACGCCTCCTTTTCCTATTCTGAGTCGATTCTGCATGCTTTAAGTGTGTTTGGTGGCTCAGAACCATCAAAAAACGTTGAAATATAGTTCAAATTCAATAAAAATCGACAAAAATACAGTTTCTAGCTAAAATTTGATGGTTTCGTTGCACTTTCCGAGCCCGTAGGGTATCTGAATGGCTTAAAAGTACAAGAAAACACTTCAAAAGTGACGTTTCTGAAGAATTTTAACAGTTTTCTTGTATCTACGAACGCCAGAATGCATAAATTGACCTAAACGTCTCCTTTTCCTATTCTGAGTCGATTCTGCATGCTTTAAGTGTGTTTGGTGGCTCAGAACCATCAAAAAACGTTGAAATATAGTTCAAATTCAATAAAAATCGACAAAAATACAGTTTCTAGCTAAAATTTGATGGTTTCGTTGCACTTTCCGAGCCCGTAGGGTATCTGATTGGCTTAAAAGTACAAGAAAACACTTCAAAAGTGACGTTTCTGAAGAATTTTAACAGTTTTCTCGTATCTACGAACGCCAGAATGCATAAAATTGACCTAAACGTCTCCTTTTCCTATTCTGAGTCGATTCTGCATGCTTTAAGTGTGTTTGGTGGCTCAGAACCATCAAAAAACGTTGAAATATAGTTCAAATTCAATAAAAATCGACAAAAATACAGTTTCTAGCTAAGATTTGATGGTTTCGTTGCACTTTCCGAGCCCGTAGGGTATCTGATTGGCTTAAAAGTACAAGAAAACACTTCAAAAGTACGTTTCTGAAGAATTTTAACAGTTTTCTTGTATCTACGAACGCCAGAATGCATAAAATTGACCTAAACGTCTCCTTTTCCTATTCTGAGTCGATTCTGCATGCTTTAAGTGTGTTTGGTGGCTCAGAACCATCAAAAAACGTTGAAATATAGTTCAAATTCAATAAAAATCGACAAAAATACAGTTTCTAGCTAAAATTTGATGGTTTCGTTGCACTTTCCGAGCCCGTAGGGTATCTGATTGGCTTAAAAGTACAAGAGAACACTTCAAAAGTGACGTTTCTGAAGAATTTTAACAGTTTTCTTGTATCTACGAACGCCAGAATGCATAAAATTGACCTAAACGTCTCCTTTTCCTATTCTGAGTCGATTCTGCATGCTTTAAGTGTGTTTGGTGGCTCAGAACCATCAAAAAACGTTGAAATATAGTTCAAATTCAATAGAAATCGACAAAAATACAGTTTCTAGCTAAAATTTGACGGTTTCGTTGTACTTTCCGAGCCCGTAGGGTATCTGATTGGCTTAAAAGTACAAGAAAACACTTCAAAAGTGACGTTTCTGAAGAATTTTAACAGTTTTCTTGTATCTACGAACGCCAGAATGCATAAAATTGACCTAAACGTCTCCTTTTCCTATTCTGAGTCGATTCTGCATGCTTTAAGTGTGTTTGGTGGCTCAGAACCATCAAAAAACGTTGAAATATAGTTCAAATTCAATAAAAATCGACAAAAATACAGTTTCTAGCTAAAATTTGATGGTTTCGTTGCACTTTCCGAGCCCGTAGGGTATCTGAATGGCTTAAAAGTACAAGAAAACACTTCAAAAGTGACGTTTCTGAAGAATTTTAACAGTTTTCTTGTATCTACGAACGCCAGAATGCATAAAATTGACCTAAACGTCTCCTTTTCCTATTCTGAGTCGATTCTGCATGCTTTAAGTGTGTTTGGTGGCTCAGAACCATCAAAAAACGTTGAAATATAGTTCAAATTCCATAAAAATCGACAAAAATACAGTTTCTAGCTAAAATTTGATGGTTTCGTTGCACTTTCCGAGCCCGTAGGGTATCTGATTGGCTTAAAAGTACAAGAAAACACTTCAAAAGTGACGTTTCTGAAGAATTTTAACAGTTTTCTCGTATCTACGAACGCCAGAATGCATAAAATTGACTTAAACGTCTCCTTTTCCTATTCTGAGTCGATTCTGCATGCTTTAAGTGTGTTTGGTGGCTCAGAACCATCAAAAAACGTTGAAATATAGTTCAAATTCAATAAAAATCGACAAAAATACAGTTTCTAGCTAAAATTTGATGGTTTCGTTGCACTTTCCGAGCCCGTAGGGTATCTGATTGGCTTAAAAGTACAAGAAAACACTTCAAAAGTGACGTTTCTGAAGAATTTTAACAGTTTTCTTGTATCTACGAACGCCAGAATGCATAAAATTGACCTAAACGTCTCCTTTTCCTATTCTGAGTCGATTCTGCATGCTTTAAGTGTGTTTGGTGGCTCAGAACCATCAAAAAACGTTGAAATATAGTTCAAATTCAATAGAAATCGACAAAAATACAGTTTCTAGCTAAAATTTGATGGTTTCGTTGCACTTTCCGAGCCCGTAGGGTATCTGATTGGCTTAAAAGTACAAGAAAACACTTCAAAAGTGACGTTTCTGAAGAATTTTAACAGTTTTCTTGTATCTACGAACGCCAGAATGCATAAAATTGACCTAAACGTCTCCTTTTCCTATTCTGAGTCGATTCTGCATGCTTTAAGTGTGTTTGGTGGCTCAGAACCATCAAAAAACGTTGAAATATAGTTCAAATTCAATAAAAATCGACAAAAATACAGTTTCTAGCTAAAATTTGATGGTTTCGTTGCACTTTCCGAGCCCGTAGGGTATCTGAATGGCTTAAAAGTACAAGAAAACACTTCAAAAGTGACGTTTCTGAAGAATTTTAACAGTTTTCTTGTATCTACGAACGCCAGAATGCATAAAATTGACCTAAACGTCTCCTTTTCCTATTCTGAGTCGATTCTGCATGCTTTAAGTGTGTTTGGTGGCTCAGAACCATCAAAAAACGTTGAAATATAGTTCAAATTCAATAAAAATCGACAAAAATACAGTTTCTAGCTAAAATTTGATGGTTTCGTTGCACTTTCCGAGCCCGTAGGGTATCTGATTGGCTTAAAAGTTATTCACTGTAGTTATTGGCTGAAGGGCCGGAGCAGTAATTTTAGCTGTTTGTAAAATATTTGTGCGTGTTACTATTGGTTTTGTTGGGTTGGAATTTTCTTTTTTTTTTGCGTAGTTGGTTCAGTTTACCAGCGCGTGATAGCGCTGCTGTCGGCGCGTGCAGCGGTCAGCTGAGTGTTTGTTTACATTTATTGGCTAACCTAATTTTTGCGTCTGGTTTATATTAACATGCTTTCAGTCTGTGGCGCTTGTCATGGGCACATTCAAGAGGTTTCCCTTTCCATTTTATGTTCGGGTATTTGCGATAAGCGATTTCACTCAACGTGTGTTGATCTGCCGGCTGATGTACAAAAATATTTGAATTTGGAAAATGGGTTATGTTGGAAGTGTCCCAATTGCGTGCGGAAATGTTTTTGTGTAGATTCTGATAACATCAACTCCTTTCTGCAGGATAAGTTCAATGACTTGGTAGGTAGTTTGAAAGATACTTTTGCTCTTCTGAAAACTGATCTTTTAAAAGATTTTACGAAACAACGTGCTGCTATAAATAGTGATGCAAATACGCCAGTTAAATATGCTGATATTATTAAAAACAAAAGTAAACCTGCAGTCATTATTGAACCCAAGAATATTGATCAAAATTCTCAGCAAACCAAGTCGCATATTGCATCCACTATTAAACCATCAGATTCAGGTATTCACATTTCGCAGGTCAAAACTGTAAAACGTGGTGGAATTCTAGTTGGTTGTTCGTCGACTGAAGACAACTCACGGTTCAAGAAAATTGCTCAGGAAAAACTAGCTGAATCATACATAATTAAGGAAGTTAAAGGTATTTATCCGAGGGTTAAGATTGTTGGTATGACTGAAAAATATTCTTTGGAGGAATTGGAAGATCTTCTTGATCACGTTATCAGAATTAATTCAGATATATTTGACCCCAACTCGATTTGTAAAGTTCTCAAATTCTGGGCTACTAAAAAGAAGTCTAATGTTTATCAGGCCATTCTACAGGTAGACAAGTTATCCTATGATCGTTTAATTTCCTCTGGTGGTTTATTTGTAGGTTATGATTATTGTTATGTATTTGATGCGGTGGAACTGAATCGGTGCTTTAATTGTAACGGCTTTGGACACTCTTCTCGAGTCTGTAACAAAAAAGCTTGTTGTCCCAGGTGTGCGGAAGAACATATAGTGAAAGAGTGTACATCCACCAACTTGAAATGTAGTAACTGTTTCAGTTCTACTGAGAAAGATAAAAATGAAATGGATTATGGTCATGCTGCTTGGGACAGTAGATGTCCCACTTATTTAAAGGCTCTAGAGAAACTGAAAAAAGATATTCTTTTGTCATAGCAATTACAATATGATTTTCAAATTAAACCTGACCTCTCAAATTCCTCCATGCTTCGTAATATTATGGTAAATTCTAATTCAGTGGCTGAAACTAATATTAAACAAACAAAAAACAGTCATAATGCTCTGCAAATTATATATCAGAACGTACGTGGATTAAGAACTAAAGTCAATGAATTTTATGTCTCCTTAATCGATAATCCTTATGATGTTATCTGTCTTTCAGAATCTTGGCTATCAGATGATATTTCAAGTAATGAACTGTTTTCCTCCGCATATACAGTCTTTCGTTGTGATCGTCGTTTTGGTCGAGTAAATCGAACACGTGGTGGTGGAGTTGTTGTTGCAATAAAAAACTCTTTTTCAGTAAGTAAATTGGATTTATCAGAGTTAATTAGTAACATTCCCTTAGTAGATATAGTTGGATGCAAAATTAATTTTTTAGCTTATTCTTTATATATTTTCGCTCTATACATACCCCCACATATGCCTGTCCAAGACTTAGAATCATTTTTTGAATATCTTGAGAACTATGTATCAACGGAAAACAAAATTTTGATTGTTGGAGACTTCAATATTCCAAGTTTTCATGATCAAAGTAATGATTCTGTAGCTACCTTATTAAATCAGTTTTTGGCATTAACAAATCTGGCTCAGCTTAACAAAGTATTAAATGACAATGGTAGGATTTTAGATCTTGTGTTATCTAACATAACAGATGTAGCTGTCATGCTTCATGATTCTCCTCCAGTAAAGCCGGATAAACATCATCCGCCACTACTTATTGATATTCTATTAAGAACACCTTCTACAAGGAACTTTCCTCTTTGTGGTATAAACAGGAAGTTTAATTTTAAGTTGTGCAATTTTCACGAATTGTATAGTGCCTTATTTGCAACGGACTGGGAGTTTTTATATAAGATTGATGATACTAACGATGCATGTTTGCAATTTTATAATAAAATAAGGGTCTTATTGGAGCGATATATACCTAGAACTAGTTCGCGAAAAAGATACTATCCTGTTTGGTTTTCTAGTGATTTGAAAGTTCTTATAAGAAAAAAAGAAAAAGCACTTAAAGAATACAAAAAAGAGAGACATAGTCAACATAAGAAAACATTCGATGAATTGCGAGCCCTGATAAAACATCGGAAAATGTTAGACTTCAGTACTTACTTAGAAAATGTCCAATCGTCCATCAAAAACAATCCAAAGGAATTATGGTCTTTTGTTCGGAAAAAGAAAAACACTACCAGACTTCCATCTAACATGACGTTTAAAAATAGAAAATTAGACAATGCCCAACAAATAGTGAATTGTTTTGCTGAATACTTTTCGGATAATTTTATAGTTAATGAAAAAATAAATCAAAATATCGGTTTATCTGAAAATAATTGTTACGTTGATCTTTCATTAATATCCGAGGAAGAAAAATTTGCAGCCATTAAAAAACTAAAGAATGATCTACTCTCTGGACCTGATCAGATTCCAACATTTTTAATTAAAGATTGTGCGAATATATTCATAAAGCCTTTATTTTATCTATTTAATTTATCATTGAAGAAATCTCAATTTCCGGAAATATGGAAAATTTCAAGAGTTACTCCAGTACTTAAGAAAGGTGATCCATCCCTTATCATTAATTATCGTCCCATCTCAATTATTTCTAATTTTTCAAAGATCTTTGAAATTGTTATGTATAACCGCATATTTCCCGCAATATCTAGATCCATATCACAATTTCAACATGGGTTTGTCAACGGCAGATCAACCGTTTCTAATTTGGTTCACTTCACACAATCTATTGCTGAAGAATTAGACGAAGGAGGACAAATGGATGTGATATTTACAGATCTTACAAAAGCATTTGATCGTGTGTGTCATTTAATATTGATTGATAAATTGGATAAATGGGGGTTTTCCAGTAGTTTACTGCAATTCTTTTCATCTTATCTACATAGACGTCAATTAAACGTGGAGTATAATGGTTTTAGATCGGAAATATTTTATGCTACGTCGGGAGTTCCGCAGGGATCAGTAATAGGTCCATTGCTTTTTACAATTTATATTAATGATGTTATTGATGTCATTAGGAACTCACAAGTGCTGCTTTTTGCAGATGATCTAAAAATATTTCATTCTATTCATTCGTATGAAGATTGTTTTAAATTGAATGAAGATATGAATAGACTATTATTATGGTATAGAACTAATCAATTAGAGATTAATAAGTCGAAATGTAATATCATGTCTTTTACAAAAAAACTTAATATAATATTGTTTGATTATAAAATTATGGATCAATCAATTTCTAGGTGTAGCACAACTAGGGATTTGGGCGTATTGTTTGATCAAAAACTTAGTTTTAATGATCATATAGAGCAAACAATTGGGAGTTCATTTCAAACTTTGGGCTTTATAATAAGAAATTGTTCGGATTTCAGAAATGTAGTTGCCTTAAAGGCTTTGTTTTTTGCATTTGTGAGATCGAAAATTGAGTATGCATCTGTTGTTTGGGCACCATATTATGCATATCAAAGAGATGCTATCGAAAGAGTACAAAAAAAATTCCTGAAATATCTACTTTTTAAGGAACAGGGAAGATATCCACCAAGAGGAATGAATATTATGGTTCTCTTGCAAAAGTATGATGTTCAACTACTCGAAGATAGAAGACGGTTGGCAGCAGTTAAATTTATAGTTAACATCGTTCAAGGAAAAGCTGATGTGCCAGCCATTTTATCAAAACTTTCTTTTGCAGTTCCGAGGCTGAACTCAAGGCAGCATATAACTTTCAGGATTTCTACTTTCAGGACAAATTTAGGAGTAAATTCACCAATCAACGTAATGACAAAACTAATAAATGGAGTTAGCAATGTTTGCGATGTCAATTATGATGGAATTAAGAAAATACTTAAGCATGTTTTAATGAAGTAAATGACCGATTTTAGTCAATAATATTTATTGTTTTAGGATTTTAGGTTTACATTTCGTTTATTTTTATCCTGTAATTGGGCAGATGCCTGTTGGATAATAAAGCATATTTATTTATTTATTTATTTATTAAAAGTACAAGAAAACACTTCAAAAGTGACGTTTCTGAAGAATTTTAACAGTTTTCTCGTATCTACGAACGCCAGAATGCATAAAATTGACCTAAACGTCTCCTTTTCCTATTCTGAGTCGATTCTGCATGCTTTAAGTGTGTTTGGTGGCTCAGAACCATCAAAAAACGTTGAAATATAGTTCAAATTCAATAAAAATCGACAAAAATACAGTTTCTAGCTAAAATTTGATGGTTTCGTTGCACTTTCCGAGCCCGTAGGGTATCTGATTGGCTTAAAAGTACAAGAAAACACTTCAAAAGTGACGTTTCTGAAGAATTTTAACAGTTTTCTTGTATCTACGAACGCCAGAATGCATAAAATTGACCTAAACGTCTCCTTTTCCTATTCTGAGTCGATTCTGCATGCTTTAAGTGTGTTTGGTGGCTCAGAACCATCAAAAAACGTTGAAATATAGTTCAAATTCAATAAAAATCGACAAAAATACAGTTTCTAGCTAAAATTTGATGGTTTCGTTGCACTTTCCGAGCCCGTAGGGTATCTGATTGGCTTAAAAGTACAAGAAAACACTTCAAAAGTGACGTTTCTGAAGAATTTTAACAGTTTTCTTGTATCTACGAACGCCAGAATGCATAAAATTGACCTAAACGTCTCCTTTTCCTATTCTGAGTCGATTCTGCATGCTTTAAGTGTGTTTGGTGGCTCAGAACCATCAAAAAACGTTGAAATATAGTTCAAATTCAATAAAAATCGACAAAAATACAGTTTCTAGCTAAAATTTGATGGTTTCGTTGCACTTTCCGAGCCCGTAGGGTATCTGATTGGCTTAAAAGTACAAGAAAACACTTCAAAAGTGACGTTTCTGAAGAATTTTAACAGTTTTCTTGTATCTACGAACGCCAGAATGCATAAAATTGACCTAAACGTCTCCTTTTCCTATTCTGAGTCGATTCTGCATGCTTTAAGTGTGTTTGGTGGCTCAGAACCATCAAAAAACGTTGAAATATAGTTCAAATTCAATAAAAATCGACAAAAATACAGTTTCTAGCTAAAATTTGATGGTTTCGTTGCACTTTCCGAGCCCGTAGGGTATCTGATTGGCTTAAAAGTACAAGAAAACACTTCAAAAGTGACGTTTCTGAAGAATTTTAACAGTTTTCTTGTATCTACGAACGCCAGAATGCATAAAATTGACCTAAACGTCTCCTTTTCCTATTCTGAGTCGATTCTGCATGCTTTAAGTGTGTTTGGTGGCTCAGAACCATCAAAAAACGTTGAAATATAGTTCAAATTCAAAAAAAATCGACAAAAATACAGTTTCTAGCTAAAATTTGATGGTTTCGTTGCACTTTCCGAGCCCGTAGGGTATCTGATTGGCTTAAAAGTACAAGAAAACACTTCAAAAGTGACGTTTCTGAAGAATTTTAACAGTTTTCTTGTATCTACGAACGCCAGAATGCATAAAATTGACCTAAACGTCTCCTTTTCCTATTCTGAGTCGATTCTGCATGCTTTAAGTGTGTTTGGTGGCTCAGAACCATCAAAAAACGTTGAAATATAGTTCAAATTCAATAAAAATCGACAAAAATACAGTTTCTAGCTAAAATTTGATGGTTTCGTTGCACTTTCCGAGCCCGTAGGGTATCTGATTGGCTTAAAAGTACAAGAAAACACTTCAAAAGTGACGTTTCTGAAGAATTTTAACAGTTTTCTTGTATCTACGAACGCCAGAATGCATAAAATTGACCTAAACGTCTCCTTTTCCTATTCTGAGTCGATTCTGCATGCTTTAAGTATGTTTGGTGGCTCAGAACCATCAAAAAACGTTGAAATATAGTTCAAATTCAATAAAAATCGACAAAAATACAGTTTCTAGCTAAAATTTGATGGTTTCGTTGCACTTTCCGAGCCCGTAGGGTATCTGATTGGCTTAAAAGTACAAGAAAACACTTCAAAAGTGACGTTTCTGAAGAATTTTAACAGTTTTCTTGTATCTACGAACGCCAGAATGCATAAAATTGACCTAAACGTCTCCTTTTCCTATTCTGAGTCGATTCTGCATGCTTTAAGTATGTTTGGTGGCTCAGAACCATCAAAAAACGTTGAAATATAGTTCAAATTCAATAAAAATCGACAAAAATACAGTTTCTAGCTAAAATTTGATGGTTTCGTTGCACTTTCCGAGCCCGTAGGGTATCTGATTGGCTTAAAAGTACAAGAAAACACTTCAAAAGTGACGTTTCTGAAGAATTTTAACAGTTTTCTTGTATCTACGAACGCCAGAATGCATAAAATTGACCTAAACGTCTCCTTTTCCTATTCTGAGTCGATTCTGCATGCTTTAAGTGTGTTTGGTGGCTCAGAACCATCAAAAAACGTTGAAATATAGTTCAAATTCAATAAAAATCGACAAAAATACAGTTTCTAGCTAAAATTTGATGGTTTCGTTGCACTTTCCGAGCCCGTAGGGTATCTGATTGGCTTAAAAGTACAAGAAAACACTTCAAAAGTGACGTTTCTGAAGAATTTTAACAGTTTTCTTGTATCTACGAACGCCAGAATGCATAAAATTGACCTAAACGTCTCCTTTTCCTATTCTGAGTCGATTCTGCATGCTTTAAGTGTGTTTGGTGGCTCAGAACCATCAAAAAACGTTGAAATATAGTTCAAATTCAATAAAAATCGACAAAAATACAGTTTCTAGCTAAAATTTGATGGTTTCGTTGCACTTTCCGAGCCCGTAGGGTATCTGATTGGCTTAAAAGTACAAGAAAACACTTCAAAAGTGACGTTTCTGAAGAATTTTAACAGTTTTCTTGTATCTACGAACGTCAGAATGCATAAAATTGACCTAAACGTCTCCTTTTCCTATTCTGAGTCGATTCTGCATGCTTTAAGTGTGTTTGGTGGCTCAGAACCATCAAAAAACGTTGAAATATAGTTCAAATTCAATAAAAATCGACAAAAATACAGTTTCTAGCTAAAATTTGATGGTTTCGTTGCACTTTCCGAGCCCGTAGGGTATCTGATTGGCTTAAAAGTACAAGAAAACACTTCAAAAGTGACGTTTCTGAAGAATTTTAACAGTTTTCTTGTATCTACGAACGCCAGAATGCATAAAATTGACCTAAACGTCTCCTTTTCCTATTCTGAGTCGATTCTGCATGCTTTAAGTGTGTTTGGTGGCTCAGAACCATCAAAAAACGTTGAAATATAGTTCAAATTCAATAAAAATCGACAAAAATACAGTTTCTAGCTAAAATTTGATGGTTTCGTTGCACTTTCCGAGCCCGTAGGGTATCTGATTGGCTTTAAAGTACAAGAAAACACTTCAAAAGTGACGTTTCTGAAGAATTTTAACAGTTTTCTTGTATCTACGAACGCCAGAATGCATAAAATTGACCTAAACGTCTCCTTTTCCTATTCTGAGTCGATTCTGCATGCTTTAAGTGTGTTTGGTGGCTCAGAACCATCAAAAAACGTTGAAATATAGTTCAAATTCAATAAAAATCGACAAAAATACAGTTTCTAGCTAAAATTTGATGGTTTCGTTGCACTTTCCGAGCCCGTAGGGTATCTGATTGGCTTAAAAGTACAAGAAAACACTTCAAAAGTGACGTTTCTGAAGAATTTTAACAGTTTTCTTGTATCTACGAACGCCAGAATGCATAAAATTGACCTAAACGTCTCCTTTTCCTATTCTGAGTCGATTCTGCATGCTTTAAGTGTGTTTGGTGGCTCAGAACCATCAAAAAACGTTGAAATATAGTTCAAATTCAATAAAAATCGACAAAAATACAGTTTCTAGCTAAAATTTGATGGTTTCGTTGCACTTTCCGAGCCCGTAGGGTATCTGATTGACTTAAAAGTACAAGAAAACACTTCAAAAGTGACGTTTCTGAAGAATTTTAACAGTTTTCTTGTATCTACGAACGCCAGAATGCATAAAATTGACCTAAACGTCTCCTTTTCCTATTCTGAGTCGATTCTGCATGCTTTAAGTGTGTTTGGTGGCTCAGAACCATCAAAAAACGTTGAAATATAGTTCAAATTCAATAAAAATCGACAAAAATACAGTTTCTAGCTAAAATTTGATGGTTTCGTTGCACTTTCCGAGCCCGTAGGGTATCTGATTGGCTTAAAAGTACAAGAAAACACTTCAAAAGTGACGTTTCTGAAGAATTTTAACAGTTTTCTTGTATCTACGAACGCCAGAATGCATAAAATTGACCTAAACGTCTCCTTTTCTTATTCTGAGTCGATTCTGCATGCTTTAAGTGTGTTTGGTGGCTCAGAACCATCAAAAAACGTTGAAATATAGTTCAAATTCAATAAAAATCGACAAAAATACAGTTTCTAGCTAAAATTTGATGGTTTCGTTGCACTTTCCGAGCCCGTAGGGTATTGATTGGCTTAAAAGTACAAGAAAACACTTCAAAAGTGACGTTTCTGAAGAATTTTAACAGTTTTCTTGTATCTACGAACGCCAGAATGCATAAAATTGACCTAAACGTCTCCTTTTCCTATTCTGAGTCGATTCTGCATGCTTTAAGTGTGTTTGGTGGCTCAGAACCATCAAAAAACGTTGAAATATAGTTCAAATCCAATAAAAATCGACAAAAATACAGTTTCTAGCTAAAATTTGATGGTTTCGTTGCACTTTCCGAGCCCGTAGGGTATCTGATTGGCTTAAAAGTACAAGAAAACACTTCAAAAGTGACGTTTCTGAAGAATTTTAAGAGTTTTCTTGTATCTACGAACGCCAGAATGCATAAAATTGACCTAAACGTCTCCTTTTCCTATTCTGAGTCGATTCTGCATGCTTTAAGTGTGTTTGGTGGCTCAGAAC